TACGTCCTGAAGAAGTCTGAGGGAGTATAGGTATTGCTTCGACACTGGATGGAAGTGTCATCTTCATTCCACGACGGCTTTACCCCGGGGAAAGAGCCTCCGGTAACCGTTGGATAAGTGGCTGCGTGGGCCTCAAAGCCGGTATTGATGCGGTAAAAAGATTCCTTACCCTTCCCAGGAATCGAAACTCGATTCCTCGGCTGTCAAGTTCACAGCCTTGTCTCTATAACGACGGAGCTATCCAGGCTCAACTTTTAACTAATATTTTATATAAATATTTGACTGAAACAATCAGGGAATTTGAGTTCTTAGTATGAAATTGCACAAAATATGATTCTTAAAGATTCACTTTTTTTTCAGAAAAATTTTCAGAAAGCTACATGTGGAAGGATTTCAAATACACGTAAAGCCTGCATGAGACTGCAAGCAACAAAATATACAGCATAAAAGAAACGACAGCAAAAAGTAGAAAGCAATAACAGTGATACATAACTACATTTCGCTCTGTAATTGTTTAGTATGTTTCCATTGATTCAAATCGCCCGTAAGTAGGCTTATATGGACTTCATATAAAAAAAAGGTTTTTACTGCTAGTGGGGTGGGAATAAGTCCCTTGTACTGCGGCCACTTCTGGCCTATTGTTCCAGCCCCAGATGATAGGTGAGGGTGATTGTGGAGCAATTGGTGGAATGAAGATTGGCAGGAGAAACCGAAGTACTCGGAGAAAACCTGCCCCAGCGCCACTTCGTCCAAAAAAAAAAACTTCCTGATGTAGAAAAAAAGACTGTGAAGTACCTGAGAAGAAGCAATTAACTACCAGTACTTACATATTAAATATTTACAACAACAAAAAAGTAAAAGTAATGCTATCCCTGTAACAGGCCGAGGAGGCCCTTTGGGTTGTGAGATGTTGAGGTTCCCAATTTCTAGACAATCGGCTCATAGATGGAGGCAAGATTGTCAGCCCTACGCACCGGCCGCCCTTTACCCCCAAGAATATTCCTGGTACTCATTTCTGTTAGAGGGGGGTCGACCCCAAGGCCATAGTGCAGCTAGACGGATCAGGTCAATTGAAAAAAAAATCCAATGACCTCATCGGGACTTGAACCCGCGACCTTCTGGCTTGTAGCATAGTGCCTCAACCAACTACACTACCGCGTACAATATTTTTAAATAAACTGAAGGTGCCTGAATGTTTACTCCATTGTGTCTTACAAAGGAACGACACAAACCAAATATATCCGCGGTCGAAACATGCAGTAGTTTAAATACACAACTGTCTGCAATCCGTCAAAAATGGTTTAACGTGTTATGTTCTTTATGGCGGATTCTGGCATGTGTGCGTGTTATGAAAGCGTCCTCAATGTGTCTTCCTCATGTTTATCCTACGAACACAATGCACCAGGAACCTGCAACTCCAGACATAAGCCGTTATCAACATCTATTACAACTAATACAGTACGTTTATTCACGACGAAACTGTTTGGAAATAAGGCAGAGCAAATAAGAAATCGAAAGAGGTAGATAAAGAGAAATTCCTCGTACATGAAGTCTTAACCGAGTTTTATTACATTAGTGTATCCAAACAAAAACACACACAAAACTCCGTGGTTCCAGTCCGCAAGCGAACTATACCGACCGAGCGACCGCCGCCTGTCGGCGAAGTTAGTACCAACTTTAGAGGATAGAGGGTGGTCAGCGCAACGAATCACCACGGCCGTTAATTTCGGTCTTCCAGACCGGAACATTAGTGTTTCCGCGGGAGAATAAAGTATCATTTCATATTTATAACTGATTACGTTCACTTAAATTGACATGCTGGCAACGATAATTTCTTAAAACGCGCCTTTTAACTTCGTTCTATTTGCCTGCATGTATTTTTTTTTAACTGCTAGTGGGGTGGGACTAAGTCCCTTGTACTGCGGCCACCTCTGGCCTATTGTACCAGCCCCAGATGATAGGTGAGGGTGATTGTGGAGCAATTGGTGGAATAAAGATTGGCAGGGGAAACCCAAGTAATCGGAGAAAACCTGCCCCAGCGTCACTTTGTCCACCACAAATTCCACTTGACCAGACCCGGGATAGAACCCGGGCCGCCGCGGTGGGAAGCCAGCGACTAACCGCTTGAGCTATGGCGCGGCCTGCCTGCCTGCCTGCCTGTAACATCTAGAGAAATGCTGAATGGACTTTCATGAAATTGATTACTGGCTAGCTTTACTAAAAAAAATCCGTCAACGTGTTCCACTTTTGGTTAAACTCAGACAACAATGGCGGATTCTTCTGATGACATGTATCCGCTAAGTGCGCATCCCGAACGTACACATTTATCCGAACGACAAATGTTCTCAACAAATTTGCAAACAAAAGCAAAATATACAGTATAAGTGACATGTCTCAAGAGCAGTTCAGTAGCCAATGCAGACGCTGGCATTAACGAATGATGAGAAACATGTTAATCTTACGTAGCAAGGAGCGTTAACGAGTGTATTTCCTTGCTGCTACAGGCTTGTAGTTTAGTCATTCATGTGTGCTGTTAACAGAAGCGGAGATAAGACACATAGAGAGACCATTGTAGTAGCACCACAACCGGCGACACACAAGCTTCAATACCATACTTCGCCCTTTCTTCAGGTCTTGTGTCATCACCAGGGCCCGGATTTTGATGATATGTCATCTTTTTTTCCTTGTATCCTATGCGATGCTCTTAAATATATAAATCTCGGATACGAGCTGCTGGTTACAGAAATGTAAATTTTATAGGTAATTTTTTTGTCATTTTTGACATTTTTAGGTTTAATGTCATTTTTTTCATTTGGGGGGTAATTTTTTGGTAAATTTTTGGACTTTTAAGGGTATTTCTTGTCATTTGGCCATTTTAGGGAATTTTTCTTCATATGTTTTCTGAAATGTGAATAACATGGAAGCGAAGCGTTCTTTCTTTTCTCCTTTAGGTCATTTTATAGGTTATCTTTTACATATTTTCAGTCATCAAAATCCGGGCCCCGGTCATCACTTAAATTTGTCAACGTTTCACAAGAGTGAAAATTAAAATGGTAAATAAATTTTATTTTAAAGCGCATAATTAAATACTAAAACCAATCAAGAATCGAATGTACGCACTGCCGTGACCTATAAACCTGTACTGTCCGTAAAGCGGCACAGCGTTCCCTGCAACATCATAATTCTCATGATCTCAGACATTAAAGTCTCATAGCTAATTAAACATTTAATAACGATGTCAAGAGCCGCGCAATGAATCCGAATTTACCTGTAGACCTACATCAAAATGTGCACAACGATTCTGCGTCTTTCATCATATCGACAGATACAACTCAGTCCTCAAACACTGTCCGTCTTCATATGTAAAAGTAAAGGTATCCTCGTAACAGGCCGTGAAGGCCCATAGGGTTGTGAGATGTTAAGATTCCCACATTTTCTAGTCAATCGTCTCACAGATGGCGGTATAGCTGCCAGCCTTACGCGCCAGCCGCCCTTTAACCCCTGGAATATTCCTGGTACTCATTTCTGTTAGAGGCTGAGTCGACCCCAGGGCCATAGTGCGGCTGGAAGGATTAGAAAATTGAAAAAAAAAAAACACCAATTACTTCATCAGGATTCGATCCCGCGACCTTCCGCCTTGTAGCATACTGCCTCAACCAACTACGCTACTGTGTGCTCCCGTCTTCATATGATAACTTCTAAAACGTAAAAAAAAAGTCTTAGTCCGTAAGAAGAAAATCTCAAATGATGACTAAAAATCTACGACATTCAGGAATAACAACAAACTTCACTAAATAAACCTTACAATGATGCATACTAGACATGAGTTTAATCAAACATCCAAATAAACTAAAAAAATCGTAAACCGCAATTAAAAATAGCAGTGTCAATGCTTCTAGTAGTCTAAATTCATATTTTACAAGAAGAAACGTTTGGCGTCCCCTGAGAATATACCCTCACACATGAGAAGTAGTTATATGAGGGTGGGGGAGTAGCGAGGTGAATGGGGGCTGCAGCTCTCGAGCTCTCTATTCAACAGCTCTTGGCCATTTTGTTGGTACAATGAGGTGGAATCTAGAGATTGGAGAATGAATGGGCTACGTGTTAAATCACGTGAAATTAATCAAACCATTTTTCTTGTCCCTCCTATCTCATTCCGGCATGGCTTTTGTCGTAACAAAGCACAGGCTTCTGGAGGCAATTTACGTAAATTCATAAAACGTTAAAAACTAACACCCTCCCCTTTATTTTTAAAATATATAAGATGCAACTTTCAAAGCTGTGTACAGAACACCGTGGGTTTTATTTGAAATCTACATGAAACAGTTATTTGATCATTCCTTTGTCTGCACAAAACACGGATGACCTCGTCTATACTGCGGAACGAAATATAACCTAAATTCTTCGAAGCACAAACATCAGTTACCAAGACAATAGGAAGATCTCTTAAGAAATCGATGTTAAACCACAGTAAAACGTGAAATGGATCACAAATCACACTAAAGTATCCCAACAACTTACAGTATAATACCGGCTTCATGACAGCTCTCGACCGGCAATATAACGCTGAATGTCGTATTCCAGCCTGACCACGGATCACTTTCAAGCGATGCGCTGAGTGACACACATGAACACAACACGAGTTCCGATATAAAACTACAACAAAGAACAGTCGTACTGAATGTGCTTCTAAAAATAAATGTCCGTTAGCATAAACGCGATATACTTTAGGTCGGTCAGTTAGCCATCTGTTCGGTAGCATGTGCCATATTCGCAGGAACGAAAATAAAATAATAACGGTCATATACTTTGAATGTTAAACTGAAATTGTACGGAAAATAGTTCTGAAGTGAATGAACTGCACATAATCGATGGAGACTACGATTAATCGAAACCAGTTTCGAGTTCCTAATTATTCACAGTAATAATCTGATACAGTATAAGTTACCTATAAATCAATATAATTATAACGGGCTGTGGTACGAATGTGGTTCACTTACCAAGGATTTGTTGTCATATACACTGCGTTTTGCTCCTGAAACCGCCGTGCAGACAAGGGCACAGATGCTCACACTAGACGCCGCAGGCTTTCCGATGGATGACTGGAAGCGTCTCGTATCTGCTGCGGATGAAGATGAGTATGTCCAAACGATCAGTTGATCAAAATGTAGATACAATTAACAAACTTCACCAAAGCACTTTCTGTTCACAGTTTAAAACATGTATGATCCGAAAATACTGAACCACGCACCCACAAACACAGCTCATTAACGTACGTTGTTATATAAATTCAGCAGACTAGAACAGTGTCACACATGGTGTAACAATCGTTGTCAAAAAAAGGTTCAAGGAAACCCACAACCACGTGAGATGCAACACACAATCTATCTGGTCTGTATGAGCAAACCGAATGAAGCAGTGAGCGACTTGGAACGAACCTAGTTCCCCCTTCCCTTCCTTCCTTTCCTTCGCACCGCTTCAACGTTCGCTTGCTTGCTCGCTCTCCGCCGGCCAGCCTGCTACGTTCGTTCCAAGCCGTACCGTGCCGAGCGCAGCTGTGCCGCACACAACGCAACCAAACCCCGAGAACTAACCGAACCGGGACGAATCCACGGTCCCCATGGTAACGCCGGCAAAACCTATTGGATAGAAAAATACGGTCTGAGAAACGCTAGCGGTACGCGACAATACATAATCGTATTATCAGACACGGAAATTTGTCAGTGGCTGTAACATTTTTACTCAGTGAATTTACTAGAAAATACGTACATATTTGTAATATATCAAAATTACTATCATTCCATTTATTGATAAAAGGTAAAGTTGTCCCTGTGCTTAACTAATTAAGCACTACGCCATGAAGGCGTATGGGGGAGTGGATATAGATCCATGTCTTGTTGACCTCGGCAATAGTTGGAGGTGAGTGGTCAGCTTCACGCTCCGGCCGCTCCAGGTATCAATTGGACAGGAGCTTGGGTGGACCCCAGAGCCGGTCTCGACCCATTTATTGATAACGAAAGTTAATACATATGAGACTGACAGCAATGTGTCCATGCAGCAATTTCGCAGAATTGCCTTGGGATGGTTGAAAAACGTGGGTTCCATAACACCACAATTATTTGACGTTAAACATTCATTAGAACAAGTTTTCCATTCCTTCCCTTCTATGTACGAACAATCAGAAATTTCAACAGTACCATTTTCTAGAATGTGACGCCGCCCAATCCGATAGAAGTTTAATGACGCTTCGGAAGAATTTCGGAGGATTCGGTCAGTAAACATCTAACCACACTATACGGCGTCAAATCCCTGAGGATATTATTCTTCATACGTAGTCACACCCATAATAACTTCAATTTCAAACCGAAACGTCTTCAGATCAAGCCTATATTAGCGGACCATTTTAATAATGGGGTTTATACAATTAACGAAAATAAGTTCCAGTTGGCAAATGGACCGCTGAAATAAACATGAAACAAAATTTAGCTAAGATGTAAAAGAAGGTAAAAATAAAGCTATCCCTGTAACAGACCATGGAGGCCCATAGAGACGTGAGACGTCGAGGTTCCCACATTATCTAGACAATCGGCTCACAGATGGCGGTGGGGTTGTCAGCCTTACGCGTGTCGGCCCCCCTTTACCGCCAGGAAGATTCCTGGTACTCATTTCTTTAGGAGGCTTGTCGACACCTGGGACACAGTGCGGCTAGAAGGGTTAGGTCAATTGAAAATGTCCAATGACCTCAGCGGGAACCTAACCCGCTACCTTCCGGCTTGTAACATAGTGCCTCAACCAACTACGCTACCTTGTAGCGTTCATTACGTAATTATATTAGGCTGTGTCCAAGATGCAGACGTGCAGATAAACAGATGTTAACTTGAGTTTGGCACGCCGTCTCAATCGACAACTGCCAGGAGCGAGAGCTTCATTAGTGTTGAAAACTCGTGGGTCTAAATAAAACCATTTCCTATCTGAGTACCATATCTAATAACTAATTCTGTAGAGGAGGAACTTCATGCACTGATGTCAGAAAGGTTTTCAGACATCTTGTAAGCCGAGTCTAAAGGATTATATTGTGCAGGATTTTATTTTGATCATGTCTAGGAACCTTAACTTCAGAAATAGACACTGTTGAGATGAAGAGACATATAAAAGCAACTCACCTCCATCTAGTGCCGAGGTCAAGAATGGTGGAGTTCTACCTCCAATAAAACAAACGTCTTCATGGCATGGTGCTTATTATGCTCATGGATAAATTTACTTTTTATCTTACATAAAAATGTAATTGGTATATTATTAACAGTAAAAATAACAATGTGTATTAAGTTAAACCACAAACTGCTTCTGAAAAAGCTGATGGTTTCTCAGCCGCTTAAGTAAAACATCACGTTTCATGCAGCCCGAAGGATCATTACCGTGTTCACAACAGATCCCACCCGGAACTTATCGCGAAGCACGCAAACCAAGTCCCTATCTTCATATCCTTTTCACTTTATCCATCTGTGCTTAGGTCTCTCAAGTGGTTTTCCTGTTGAGGCTATCCGGTAGTTTTGTATGCATGTCTAGTTTCTTCCATGCGTTACGAAGAGGCCTATGTAAGCTTATATATGTAAAATTATTCTTGTTAACTAATTAAGTACTGCTCCGTCAAGACGTATGGGGGGAGCGAATGTATAGATACTCGTATTCTTGACCTTGGCACTAGCTGAAGGTGGAGTGGTAATCTTTAAATTCCGGCCGTTTTAACTCGTGTGGAAAAGCCCCCGGTGCCCATTGGATGGAAGGCTGGGTGGACCCCAGAACCGGTTTGGATCACGTGGGGAGGACAATAATCTTGCCCTTACCGGGACTCAAACTTTGACCCCTCGGCGGGCCAGCCCGTAGCCAGTCACTATACCGACGGAGCAAATGTCTCAGTCCAATGGCCGGTAAATATCCTCATTTCGGCGAAAATGTAGTGAAACTAAATTCAAAACTTTCATTTGGTGATTACTCTTCGAAAGTAACACTATAGGTGAAAGATAAGAAGTTCTAGGAAGAACCAATTTCCTACTTCCCTATGATACGACACGAACCGTACAGAAAACGAAGCATCCAACAGTTCTTAAATTATTGCCTGTGTATTCATTGCCGCATGAACGTGTCTATTGAGCCACTGCCTAGCAACGGTATGGAGGTGCACATACAGGCAGACACACAGACTGATGGGGTGGAATTACGAAGCATGCAGTTGAGATGGGCGCAGGTGCCATGATGTGTATACCAAATTTCATAAAAATCGGTTTAGGCGTTCAAAAGTTTATGGGGGGGGACAGACTGCAAATTTATCTCATAAGCCTCCTCTAATTTTTTGTTCAAAATAAGGAAAGTGAGCTAACAAGCCCTTGATCTAAGCAGACAGCAGATTCTGTCTCGAAACATGTATAGGAAGACACTGTAACCTAGGTTCATGTCTGAGTAAGTAGCCATCGGTAGAATCTAACTGCCACTGTGGTTTTGGCTGTGTGCCCTCCGCTCCATTGCAGTCCACCCCTCCTCCTCCTCAGGGATAACCAAACCTCTACTGAAATCCCAGGACACACATATCCCAAATGTTACAACAGCCAAAATTTAAAGTAAACTAAAATTACTATTTTATTGATCCCTGTAACAGGCTGTCGAGGCCCACTGACTTGTGAGACATCGAGGCTCCCACTTTTCTAGACAATCGGCTCATAGATGGCGGTGAGGTCAGCCTTAAGCGCCGGCCGCCATATACACCCAGAAAGATTTATGGTACTCGTCGACCCCAGCGCCATTGTGCGCCTTGAAGGATTAGGTAAGTTGAAAAATCTAGTGACCTCATCGGGAATCTAACCCACTAACTTGAGGCTTGTAGCATAGTGCCTCAACCAACTACGCTACCTCGTGCCACCATATGAGGCACTACAGGTAACTAAATTTTCATGTATCGCTATTTCCTTTAGGCAGTCAACAAAATGACAGAATAACTGATGCTATTTCAGACTGTAATTCAAAGCTTCACAAATATTTCCCTCACATTAAAAAATCGATCATGATGGCTTTGCTGCCATATGTCGTGAAACACTGCCAACTGAACAGTGTACTTGCGCGACATCTCATATTGATCTAAAAGCTTTCTTCTTTAAACGAGTCCTAGATGAACTAACAAGCGTCATTTGTCTTACCCTTAAAGGTACATTAACGGGAAGAGAAAGACTCAGAAATGAATTACTGCCAGAAACCTATACAGGGTGATTCTAAATTATTATCGGAGTTTCCGTGGCCTATAATTCTGAAACTACAAAAAGCAAAATAGAGCCGCTTATGAAATATGAAAGTGTAGAGCAAAACGTTTTATTGAGTATAGAATCAGTGCTGCAGAATACTAAACAATTGGAACATGCGCGCCTTTCTTACCACGCAAGATGTCCAAGAGATATTTAATTATCCTCTGAGTGTTCTACATCATTTGCGGTGTAACTATTTCGATCGCAGCAACAACGCTACCGGTCTCTGGAAATTGCTTTAACCAATGTCGGATAGCATTATCTGAAGATGCAACTTTTTATATTTGTAACGACGTTCCAATTTTGATAACGGATTTTGTTTCGAAAACCAAAATGCGCACATTGCTATCTCTTGAACAGACGCCAGTTTAAGGTATGACGTCATATTCTCTCCCAGACATTAATGCGGCTAGTATAGCATTGCAAAACAAAACATTTTAAGTTATATTTTCATATTCTATAAGCGGATTAATTTGTTTTTTTATTATTATTTGAAAATTAGACCAGGGAAACCCCGACAATAATTTAGAATCATCCTGCATTTCCAATACCGTAAACTGGGGTGACTGTGCCAATGTGACGCCACACTTTTTATCACAACGTGACGTCATTTTATCAGCTGTACAATTAAGTAGCATAGAAGCAAGTTTTAACTTGCTGTGGTCTTCTAATAGAAAATGGCAACGCTGGTTGCACACTCTTAGCATCATTTCTATAACCGTACGTGAAAAAGAAACAATAATACTGAGGATAAACTTTCTGTTTAAGCTGTATTTATGTTCATTCTCTTAGCTCCTGGAAACTGTTTGTCTAGTGGTTCACAGGAGTTGTGTGCTTTTTTTTTAATTTTGACCAGAACCGGGATCGAACCCGGGCCGCTGCGGTGGGAAGCCAGCAGCCATCTTGTGTACTTCTTGCTTGAAAGGTAGGTGATTTTAATTATTATAAAATTAACTTTCAAAATGTCATAATTGTTTATTACTGGCCGTTTGCAGTGCTACTATGCCACGTCAACACAACGGAAGTCGGGGAATCCCAGTCACTGCAACGACAGCAACGCGATTTTGGACGAATACTTGAAGGGAATAAAGAATTAATGAGATTTCAGTTCGTTGGGCTGCAGACAAGACAGAACATGCCTACAATGACTAAAGTAAGCTCAGATTAGGATCGTTAACATTTTCGGTTTCTTCTTACAATACAATGTTTTATTATTATTATTTGCGGCCCGAGGTCAAGAAA